GGTTTGATTTCTTTGTATGTATGGATCACTTGGGTTGTTACCAACATCTGGTGAAAATTTCATGTCATTAGCACCTCTAGTAATATATTTACTGAGAACAATGGTGACGTGTTCAATACTTATTTTACCCGCTGTATGCATCCAAAAACGTAGATGATTGGAACCATAGGTACAAGGGACATAGGTATCTGGAAACATATGTACTGGAGATCATAGGTACTGAGAAGTATAGGCATCCAAAAACATAGGTACTTGGAAACATAGGTACCGAGGGACATACGTATCTGGAAACATAGGTACTTTTAAATTTACTTTTAAAGTACTGGGGAACATATGTATCGATATCTGCCTCTCATTAACTTTGCAGTCAGGGAGTGACAAACACAAGTGTGTGATTACCATGGCGATCATACAGTATTAAGTTACTGGAAGATGCTTTTTAAACTTCTCATACAGTTTAAACATACAAATGTAACATTTTTTCTTACCAATAATTTAGATTATTGTGAAACTGATGTTGGATTTGTGAGCAGTAGCTAATTTGGCATCCTTCAAAATTTCCTCAAAAATCTTCATGTTTGATTTACTCTCAGGACTCAGATTTAACTTTTACAAAGTTGAAGAGTTGGCCCTTAGAAAAAAAATTTGTTCTGTGTTTTTTAAATCGTGGCCTATCATCTGAAAAGTGTCTGAGATGGATCAACTTTAGGCAAAGACAGAAGTAAGCAAAGATTCAAGAGCGAGGTTAGAACTACAAAGAAAAAAAAAATAAAACCTCTTTACTGGTTAAATTTCAAACCCTGAAAACTGAGTGGTCACAGGRGCAGTAACCAGACTCTGAGGTGACGGCAGACGGAGATGAATTCGCTGCATGGCTGGGCACCGGCAGGAAACACAAGCAGAGTCTCAGGTTTCCCAGAGGGGTGAGAGCTGTTCAAAGATGTGACTCAAACTGGTGGGACTGGGAGGGAAAACAGGCCAGAGTCATCAGCAGCTTTTTGTTCCCCATACTGAGACTGCTTTTCTGCAGACGCTCAAACCGTGGCACATTTTACTGGAATTTAACCTAAACTACTTAAAATACAATCATTTTATTCTTCAAGACAAATTTAGATGTGCCTAAAATAAAAAGGTTTGTTTTCAGCAGCATGCATGTAGGTGATGTGACACTAGTTTCATGTTTTTTGTAGTTGTTCAGACAATCTAGTTTCAGGCAGTGATTGTGACCCCCCCACCGCTGAAAGGCAGACGGTAAAATAATTTTGTGTTTGTAAGCCAAAAATCTCATGACTCACTGGACGATTTAAATAAAACTTAACTGTCAGTCACTGTATCGGGACTTTATCTATGTTGTACTTTATGAAAGCCATAAAAGATATTTGGCTCTTCCTTTAAAATTGTAATAATACAAATGAAAAAAAAAAATCAAAACTAAATTACAGTACAGGCATAGTACAGGGGGACATGGGTACTAGGAACAAGTTGTCTGTATGATCACCTGAAACCATGTAACCTTGTGTCTATTCCCAGTACCTGTGTTCCCCTCTTCCTGTTTATGAGGAACATAGGTATTGGGGAATAAACTAAGTTCACCCCACTGTTCCACCGTACAATGCCTGCCCTGTAGTTCAGTATTTTTTTCATTTGTTTAAAAAAGACATTTGAAAGGGGAGAGCGTAGGTACCGGGTAATATAGGAACTCCCCACCGTATTGTACCATATGAAAACTTTTACCATTCTGTGCCGTGTTGTTTACAGCTTAAACTTTTATAAAAGAACGTTAAAGACTAAAGCATGTGTCCTGAAAAAACCTAGCAGAAATCATAAACAAAACCAGTTTTCTATTTTTACTTGTGTTTACTGTGCTGTATGATGTTGGCTGTCACCATGGATGCTGAATAGAAAAAGTAATAAAAAAATRAACAAATTGTTAGAAAATAAAAGTTATCAAAGAAAAAAAAAACAGCAAGAACCCATTTCTGTATTTGTATCATAAATTTAAAATAGAAATTCAACTTTTCACTCTTATTAAAAACTTTATTTGACAAAGTCCTAAATAGTAAAGATGACACTAAAACAAGAAACTGTTGGACTAAGTCTTATGGTAAATCTGCTTTTTTTTGCACAAAGTTTAGTTTGGATTTTTTGTGAAAATGCCACTATTGTACCCAGATAGCTCCTATGATAGTTTTATTTGAAGCTGAACGGCGAGTTAACGTCTGAACAGAGCCAAGACTAAAGTGGCTGATGTCTTACAACTCTAATCTAAAAAAATAAAATAAAATAAAATCTATACCAGCTTTTGCATAATCTCTTTTTTAAATTAAACTTCTCCAAACTGAGGTCATTTGAGGAGCTATCTACAGCAGTTCAGATATTAATTCCTCATACCCTTCCCAAAATAAATCCCACCAAATAAAGATTTGAACAATAGCTACATACGAGACACAAAATGCGTCAAACGTCATGTTTCTGGCAGCTCTTTTATGAAACACCATCAGAGATRGATAACTTCAGTCATTGTAAAGTCTTTACTAACCAAACATAATTTAAGAATTATAAAACATAGCTTTATACTTTAAATACACTGGTACGATTCAGTACAAAAATAAGAGGCAGTGAAATGTTTCCAAAGCCTACACAAACACTGTTGTGTCATCAGTCGCGTACTGGCACTCAGATCAGTCCTGGGTGGACCAGTTTGGCACATTATTATCCTCCTCCTCGAAAAACACAGCGTTCATTAAAATACTGAATTATAATCTGTTGCTTTCTCTTTTTACAATAGCACGTTGCTGCACTCGGAGAACGACATAGATGCTGAGCAGCCACTAGATGGTGCTTTGGACCAGCAGGAGAAACCCCCTCAGCTCAAATCAGATTAGTTTCATCACTTCCAGGGTGTGTGTGCTGCAAAGGCAAACAGGGAAGTCCATGACAACAGGATGTCCGTGGTGAGTTAAACATCTCGCACCGTTTGTGTTCAACACTCCAATTATCCTCAGATGAGGTGTTTCCCACAGTTTGTCTTTGGATTTTCTCTTGTGGTTGCAGCTGGAGTCTGCCCAAAGTGGCTGGAGCAAATCGTCTCTATAAATCCAATTTGCAGCCTCGTTTTTTTTCTTCTCATTCACACWTAAAAAAACAACAAAAACAACCTGCATTCACTCAGTTCCTTTCTTTTTCTCCTCCTCGTAACYCCAGCATGTGCTACGATTTATCCCCTTGGAGAACCTAAAACAAAGATAAAGTCTGTTACGGGTCCAGTTCGGTAAAATCATTTGCAGTTTGTTTGTGTTCGTATGATGCAGGACATGTGCGCTCGCCTGCTGACGGTGGCGTGGAAAACTGCACGTGTTTCTTCTCGGCACTCGGCGATGCTTACCTACCTGGTTGCGAGTTTTATGGGACTTCTGCATAAGCACCCTCCACTGGTCGTACAGCTTCATGGACATGCTGCTGCAGCCGTAGGCGTGCTTCCTTACCCAGCCGAAGAACTGCTTCAGCTCGCGACGCAGCGTGGAGTTGGAGTCTCCGCTCGACTTGGAGTCGCAGGAGCCCGACATCAGCCGCTCTGCGGGGGAGGAGCCATTATTTTTAGTAAAGAGGGAACAAAAATGCTCTCAATCTAGTGGTTTTAGTCGGGTTTTACTTTATTGAACTTTGGGTTACAGGAAGTTTCTGCTTGASTGAAAAAGAAAGTAAAATGTGCTTCGGTTCAATCACGAACAATAGAACAGTTTAGTACAAATAAAGATTTAAAGTATTAGGAAGTAGAAATCTGCACAGTGATTTTTAGTTTACTTGCAAAAACATGACTTGCTCTTGTTTTTTCAGTGATGCTGTCCAGCATTTTTATTGGAAAACGACACCTTTTTTGCGCTTGAGGCCGTTTTTAGGTGCCAAAAACACCATTCTGTCTATCGGTCTGTTTCAGTCAAACTAATTAAAAAAATATTCAAGTCTCTGAGTTTTTCCAGTTTGCAGAGAAAAAAACATTATGTATATGTATATGTATAACAGTATGGAACCTTTGTGATCTATAGTGTTGCTGCTTATTGCAAATTCTGACCAGAAGTTAGATACTAACCCTAACCTTGATATTTTGAATACCTTGTCACTTTAATTCCAAGTACAATATTTGACCTATCCCTTCAAACTCAAAGTAGGAATTCATTTTCCTATTTTACACTGCATAAAGTGTTAGATTATCYTTTCATGGCCATCATTCTCCAGCACAAAAGAGATGATGGATGGATTATTGTTTCAAATGACCTGTATTAGCAACAGGTTTTAACATTATCCCCTAAAATTAGAAATGTTTCTCTGCTTCAACACCTGATTTCAATGAATGGGTGATTAACAAGCCTCTGCAGAACAAGAAAAGGTAATGCAATCATGGAATCAATGTGTTGGAGCAGAGATACAAGTAAAACATGCAGGACAGTTAACCCTCGAGGACCAGGATCGAACATCCCTGCAATAGACCACCGTACAAAGTTTTAAGCAACATGTTGCTCCCCGAAGGGACCAAAAAGGAGTTAAAAAGCAGAGATCAAGAATAAATAAACATCTCACCACTGTGGGGGGTGGAGGCCGCTGTGGGGTGGCTCCACTCACTCCAGATCCCGGCCTTGCGAGAGCCGTAGATGCCCACAGGGTTACAACGAACCTGCGAGAAAATGTACTATAAACGAACAGAACCGACGGCTGAAAGGGTTATTTTACACTTGGACAGTGGTGGACACAGCTAATCAAAAGGTTAGCTTTTCTTACTCATAACTAACTAAAAATATAGCTTCCCTAATGCTAAATGTATAAAATGAGCAGAAGCCAACAGAAACTGCTAAAAGAAATCTGCGTCACACATACTAGTTTCCACCCGCTTCGGATGTTATCATCCATTAAATGGACGTTATTAGTCGTTATCAGTCCCATTGAATGGCTTCAGACTGTCAGCTGGTTAATATGAGGCTTAAAGCCACTAAGGTTAATTTTAGAGATAATGACATAGGCTACGATAAAGTAGACTAGACTCGGGCGGTAGCTGATTGTTGCATTCCAACGTATATGGCACTGGTAACCCACTAGAGGGCACTGTCAGGACAGTCTGAAGCCATTCTATGGAATAACAGCTAATAACGTCCATTTAATGGACTGATAACATTCAAACCAGCTGTTAGTTTCCTTGGAGCTGAAGACCGGTGGGACTGACAACAACCTGTTAGTGTTAGCTAGAGATGGGACAAATGGCTCTTTGAAGGGATCTGGATCTTGGGGAGCCGTTTGTTTCATAGGGCCGCTCAAGAGAGCCGTTTGATTTTGAACATYTTACGTCATCACGTAGGGAAATACGTCACCACGTAGCCGTACGTAATGACGTCGTCCCGTCACGTGGGTGGAACCGTGTGTTTGTCAAGCGGAAACCCCCCTCCCCCTTTCACRGTGAGATTCTGTACTCCACAACTCTGCCTGTTTTCCYTGATGAAGCWAAGCGGGAGCAATTTAAGTATGAAAAAATAAAGAACTAAAACTACAAATGGCTCGTTATTGCCCATGATTCGGCTCCTATCGTTCATTGTAAAGAGCCGTTCAAAGGATTTGGATCGTTCGCGAACGTCCCATCTCTAGTGTTAGCTTGTTAGTTAGCTGTTAGCGCGCCCGAAGTTGGAAAAACCTCATTTAGCAGAAGCTAACTGGTCCGCTAACGGTTTTCAAAGTTAGTGAAAAGGTTAATCCGCTAAACAAACAATTAGCTCTGCTGTTAGCTTAACCGAGCCCACCACTGCACTTTGAGGTACAAAATATCACCACACCTGGACGAAATACACCGTTCCGGGTCTCAGTCCAGCCAGTCTACAGGACGTCTGATTCCCAACGTCATCCATCACCTAAAAAAAACACACACACAAAACAACAGCAAACCCTGATGAGCTGAGCGCTGGAGGTCCGACCACAGTATTAAATACCAGTGTGCAGAAACTAAAACACAAAGCAGAGTCAGGATGCAGAAAACCCAAACCATGCACAGACCCACACATGCATGAACACCACATTGTTTAGCGGCTCCTGATCAGCATGTTTATCAAACTATTTTAGTGTAGCTGTGCCTGCTGGGTAAAAATCTGCTCCCGATTATTTATGACACAGCTGGATATGCTGGGACACACACACACTTGTACACACACAAACACCGAGGGGTGTGCGCAGGTACTCAGGCAAAATGGAGAGAAACCGAAAATGAAGAAATTCCAAGGGAAGAAAAAAAGAAACATCCGTGTTGCAGCAACTGATAATTCTCACTTTCTCCCTGGCGTCCTGAGTGTAAACACTTGTTAAGCGGAGCGCCAACGGAAAGCAGAACATGTAAATTACAGGCAGCAGAGTGCTAATGGTGTGATGTAAGGGAAGCCAAACGAGGCAGACGCTACAGCTGAGCGACCATATTGAAGACATTAACAGCTATCCCTCCATTCCTCAGCATGACCTCATGATTAGGGCCGGTTCAGAGGTGCTTTGTTTCCACCATCAGAACCTTAAAGCCACTTGGATTCAAGCCTCCGCTCTCCTCCTCTGAATGGTATCATCTCTCCACCGCGCCTCTCCACTCCCCCGGTTTTCTTTTCCTTTTTCCACGTTGCGAGTAAAGACTTGCTTATATTACGATGCTGTAATTCCTCCCTAATTACAGCAGAATCCTCCCTCCTGTCCCGAGGAAAATGATTTCTCTGAAGTTCCATCTGCATGACAGACTCTTTCCTCGAGTATTTTTCATTCATAAAAGGTTTGCGAGGGACTTGTTTACAGTGGATTTGGCCTAAGGTTTCACCCTTATTAAAACCCGATTTCTATGACTTTTTTTTTCTTCCGTGAAGGTTTTTGACAACTATTAACTCACCTGGCAGAGACAGCTTTAAACACACTAGGTTGAGATGTGAAACAGCTGGTTCTGTATCTGTTTGCGTGTCAGAGATGAAGGGAATGTATAAATTTCTAAATGTGGATTCTTACCTTCCAGTCCTGGCTGTCCTCCAGCCTGTAGCGGATCTGATACTTGGCTTGAAACAGGAAGTCTTTGAGAGCCGGTGGGGCCTCCCAGCGAACGCTGAGCTGGTCCTCCAACTGGCCAACACGACTGACCAGCACACCTGARGGGGGGTCGGTGGTCACTGTAGGGGGAAGAGTTTGATGTGAAATTAATAAAGTATTGTTTGAATTTTCAGATACCAGTGGTGGGCACAGCTAACTAAAGAGTTAGCTTCACTAACTAAAAATACAGCTTAGCTTACGCTAAACAATAAAAAATTAGCGGAAGCTAACACTAACAGCTTGTTAGCCTTTGCGCTAGCACCAACGCTATATTGCTTTATATGTATTAGCTCGGCGCTAGCGTGACAAACAAGCTAAACTGAGGTCCTCCATC